AGAGAGAGAGAGAGAGAGAGAGAGAGTAAACGACACAGTTGTGAGATTGTGTAACCAATATAGATTCTCTCTCTCTCTCTCTCTCTCTCTCTCTCTCTGAGTTTTTTCACAAGAAGTCTAAATATGTTGCGCCGACTGATAGGCTCACCATTTTTGGCCCGCATTCACACTCACATTGCGTACAAAACTAATGCATTAAATAACACAAAAAACATAATAATAATGAAATACTATGAGAAAAAACATTAAACATTATATTTAAAATATATACATTTTTCACTAATTTTACACCTAAAAAACATGTAAATTATGCACAACTGTATTATTCTAGTTATATTATTATTACATATCTAAATAAAGTACATAAATTAATACAATAATTGTGGTAAACAAATCCATATTAAGGATAATTATTTACATTAATATAACAACATATGGTAATCATCAGTCAAATACCGAGTGTTAAATACTAAACATCTATACCTATACATTTATTCTCAAATATTTTTATATTTTGTGAACATTATAAGTACTTTTGTTAATTATATAGCAAACATTTATAAAGACATTTACAAACTTTATTATACATATTTTTATCTAAAATTAACATGGCCAAATTATTATTTATAAAATTATAATTATACCCAGGTATACATATAGACTATAATTTTAAAACAAATTAAATTGAGCAAGATTACTAAGAATGAATTGCAATTAATCTCAATCAAACATGTTCAGATACCCGTTCGTGCGATAACTGTCAGGAAATATTGAACGAGTTGGAAAAGATCGACGGAGAGGCCGATAAATATGGGGTAGAATTTGTGAAAAACTCGGAGAGGGCCGCATCCAAAAAATATGGTATCAACAAATTTCCATCGTTGGTCTATTTCCGGCACAAAGAACCCACCATATTTGAAGGTACAAATCCATCGACCATGCCAGTTTTATAATAATTTACAAGCATGGCTTTTGCAATTATTAATAAATTGTGAATTTATTTGATAAACAGGCGATTTAATGAACGAGGAGGAGGTGCTCGAGTGGCTGACTAGTGTCGAGTCCATGGATTTGCCGGACAAGATCGAAGAGGTGAACGCCAAGATACTACAAAATTACATCGATGAACACGACTACGTGGCCGTACTATTCTGTAAGTCATATATCATTTATTAATAGCAACGTGGCTATTGTAGGGGTTAGATGTATGGGGGTTGGGGCTCGATATGTGCTAGTTGGTAATATTGTGTAATTTTAATTTGTTGATATGATAAATTAAGAAGATTCTTTATATAAAAATTTTTAATATTAGGATAAAGCTTTTTTATATAACATTTAGTCCGATCGTCAGCGAAATGTTGAATGAGTTACAGAATATTCTTTTACACAAAGGGTTTTGTATTTAATGTGAATGTTTTCGTTTGATAAATAAAGTATTTTATTTCTCGCAATTCTTCCACTCGTGTTATGTATAATTAATTTTATCAACAGGCATTTTAAAATAGTGTTTTTAACAAACTGTGTATAATCTGGCTTATAATTTAATTTAATTTAAAAAGTCATAGATAACACATATCTAGTAAAAGTTATTTAGTTTTATGTTTATATTTAAAATAAAATATAAAAGGTTTAAAAATAAAAATACAATTAGATGTTAAATATGGTGATAATTTAGTATGGTTATTTTTTAATTTAATTAACTAGCGAGTGATAGATGGAATAATAGTTTTATACTATAAACAACATTGATTGCTAATTAGCCAGATAAAGGAATAACAAATAAAACAATGTGTATTGTATTGAGTAACACAGTATGAGTTGAGTTAGAGAAACAATAAGGTCGGAATTTGCGTATTTTGATTACGATCATTTTTAGCGCACATATAAGCCATGCTCTCTCTCTCTCTAATGTGCGTGCAATTAAAATACGTTCCTGTCCAATGTACAATTAATCTAGGTATATAATTAAAATACTTAAATTGCATAACTATATGAAAATGAGTTTGTGATGGTAATTTGNTCTCTCTCTCTCTCTCTCTCTCTCTCTCTCTCTGCCATAACATGTGTATTGAAGAAATGTCTATAAATAAAAACATGAAACTGTGCCAAAACTTTAGGCCGTATTTTATTTGTTAGTGTCTTTCAATAAGTATTTTTTGTCTAATAGTGTATTCTATTTAATATCTAATAAAAATTTTATAATTTATACATTTACTCAAAATATATTTAAAACTTTTATTTATTTTTTACAAAAACAACATTTACATGTATATTCTGTATAGAGAATCGGATTTTATAGCACTATATAATTAGGCAATAAATATGTATAGAATCGACAAATGGTATTGAATAATGTTTGTAGTTTTGTCTGTATTTATAGCATAATGTATTTAGACGTTAATTATTGGATACAAACATACATATTATGACTATTTTTAAAAACAACTCATTTTAATGTGTATTTAAGTGTCGACAGTCGTTATAACTTATAATTGATTGCATTTATAAATACCGTATAACTAATGATGAGGGAGAGAGAGAGAGAGAGAGAGAGAGAGAGAGAGAGAGAGAGAGAGAGNAGAGAGAGAGAGAGAGAGAGAGAGAGAGAGAGAGAGAGAGACTGATTTGATTACTTTTCACATAAAACGTTTACCAAAAATACAGACCCTTTTAGAACAAACATAAGTGTATTTTTTACATTAGTATAGTAAAGTTATAAAAATTAATATTTTTGCATTGATAATGATAAAAATTAAAAATTACCTAAGTCATAGTCATCCCATATGCCCAATATAATAGGATATTTAGACATATTCATGGATGTATAATAAATCTAGATTATATAATTACAGTTGATAAATTCATATTGGTAAATATTACTATAATAGAAATAATATCTCATCCGTGGCATTTAAATATTGATTTTAAAATTACCAAAAATATAGCAATTTACGTACATGCTAAATATTTATACTTAAATAAATAACTATATGTTAAATTAATTTTTAAGACAAACAAAACTGTAAGAAATGTGAGAAAGTATTGCACGAATTGGAGGAGATTGACGACGACGCCGACCAACAGAACATTGGCTTTGTATGTATTGTTTTTACATACAGTAGTTATACAGTAGTATACATGTAGTTGTGTTTGGGATGGGGTTAATGATGACCACTTCGGGTCTAGTGTTGTCATTAAAATTATGCTTATTTTCCCACTATATTTAGGTTAAAATATCGGAACCGGAGCTCGCCTACGAATACGGTATGTATAATGTTAGCATGATGGTTTTGTTTGTTTGTAGTTTATACATGGTATAATTATTGATACACATTGTAAAAATTGCAATTTTCAGGACTCGACGAATTGCCCGCGTTGGTCTATTACAGAAAAAAGATCCCGATCGTTTATTCAGGTATTTGAAATATTTAAAAATATATAAAAGAATGCATCTGTGATAGAAGTTTATATATTTAAACTTCTATCACAGATACGTTCTATGATATGTTTTGTTTAAAACCCATTTATTTGTTAAATCTTAACTCAATATAAAGTTACAGTTTTAAATCATTTATTGATTAAATGTTAATGTTAATGTTGATATACATTAATATAAAATACACACAGTTACATTTATACGTAATATAAAGTACATATAAATGTAAATTTATGTATTAATTATACAATTGTCTATCTATTTACAAATTCAATCTAGATTAAATTTTAATTAAGGATATTGGTCACATAGAAGATAAACGATAGCTAAATAACCATTTCATTTGTTAGTTCATAGATGACAGGATAGGAAACTTTAAAAAAATATTTCATTAACTTAATTTATTTCAAATTACCATCACAAACTCATTTTCATATAGTTATGCAATTTAAGTATTTTAATTATATACCTAGATTAATTGTACATTGGACAGGAACGTATTTTAATTGCACGCACATTAGATTTTACATGCAATTCCTATATTAATATATATAATTCTCTCTCTCTCTCTCTCATACCTAATTCATGCAGTACTTCCATACTATCCTTGTCCTCGTCATCGTCTACCGGCGCCCACAGGAATCGTATCGTAAATTAATAGCCAATTAGGGGTACAAAAATAATAGGGTAAATAGAGTTATAAAAACACAGTCATTAGTTACAGCATTTGTTTAAAAGCAATATAACCAAGTTAAATATGTGGGTGTGCTAGAGCCCCACAAGTAGGGGCGTGTGGGGTCAAGGGGTAGGGGTGGCGGCGGCTATGCATGCGCTGACAGCTTACAGAACAAGACGGCCAACGAGTCGGACGACTCGATGAGTTGTGTGAGTATAGCGGCCGAGACGTCCTCTATCTCGTCGGAGTCGGCGGTGAACTCGTCCGGATCGTCGACTGTGTCCCTGAACTCTATCAGCCATTTCAACACTTTCTCCTCGTCTTCCAAGTCCTCT